CTTGCCCTCCGTTTGACTCCAACGAACCAGAGTTAATTATTGAAGGTTGCTCTCGAGCAGAGATCGTGTAGGGGACTGTGGCGAAAGGCCGGCTGTGTCGCTGCTGCAGTTCACCATGCTCATGATGCAAAAGAAAAAAAAAATCACAGAAAGCACGTTTTGGATATTTTTTCATCAACTGATCAGCTGGAGCACACGGAGCGACTAGAACAGTGTCTTGGACCAAAGGGTACCACAACAAAGCCTGACTTTGTGTCTCTGTGACAGCGACTCTGTTTATGGACTCTTCTCTTGTAGCAACAAGAAACAGTGGTGTCTGCTGTGGGCCTGTGCTTACAGTTTAATACCAGACACCACATTACCAGAGGTGGAAAGAGTACTGAAAACCTGTACTCAAGTACTGTTACACTGCGTAAATTGTACTCAATTACAAATAAATGTACTGGCTTTATAAAAAAAAAAAAAAAAAACTTAAATCAAAGTACTCTTCTCAAAAACTACTCGGAGTATTAATGACTTTTTAACCACTTGCTGTTTTATTGTGTTGTCAATAGAAGTCATTCATTTTGATTTACTGTGTATAATATCTACATTCAAAGTACATTTCTCAGACGCTCAGCAGCTCCGTCTTATTCTAGTACTAACCGATGGCAGTGACAACATCTAAGATCTTTGCATTCTTAGTCAAACTAATAACCCACACATACAAATAATAAAAAACATTATCAAACAGGTAGTTGTAAAACCTCGTATACCACAATATGTTTTTTGAGATTAGATGAAGTCTTGTGAGCTGCTGTCACCGTAGAGATCAAACAAAGTTTACATCTGGACCCGTCTCCTTTTCACCCTCTGTGCATGAAACATTCCTCCAGGTACGGCCACGTGCACTCAGCCTGTACCTCCTCATATTCTCTGTTGACAGTTTGTCCTCTGTCTCCATTTTGGCTTTTTCTTCAAAGCTTGGGTCCATAAAGGACTCTCTACTCTACAGAGTTGTCCTTTGCTTACATCATAGGTAACTGGTGCGTTCATGATCTGAGAGCCTTATTGGCTACGAAGATGCAGATGAACGATTTGAAGATTAATTCAAATTGTGGCCGTACTCAGTAGTGACTTCAGATTTTAATAGCAAAGTAGATTACATGGTCTAAATTGTACATAAATATGAGTAAAATTACATACTTGAAAGAAATACTCATAAAAGTACAAGTACCCCCCCCCCCCAAAAAAAAAAAAAAAAAATCTAAATTACTGTAACGTATTTGCGGTGGTGGGATGTAACTAAGTACAAGTACTTTGTTACTGTACTTAAGTACATTTTTCTTGTATCTGTACTTTACTTAAGTAGAGTTAACCGTGGGTACTTTCTACTTTTACTCCACTACATTTTACATTAAGTATCTGTACTTTCTACTACACATACTGCGTTGTGTTACAAGTTACATTCTCATTAAGTTTTTTTGATTTGTCTGTTAGTTTGAAAGTAACTAATGGTGAAGGGAGTTGGTTCATTGAATCACTGCAAAGAGGGCAGGTAACGTTAGACCCACCTTCAAGAAGAGCTGAACCAATGATGTATATTCTAGTATTTATGTCACTGAGCTGGGAGCACCCGCAGCACCACTAACACACCCAAAATGGATTATACCTCGTAGAGTCAGCCAGAAGATACGCACCACCCATGACCTTATTGACAGACTATTGAAAGAATATTAAAAGATTATTGAAAGACTATTGAAACACTATTCAGTACAGCAGGACAGATTCTCCCAAAAGAGCCCGACTGGACTCAAAAAACTTTGAAAACAAACTTCTTCTGAACTTGAAGAAATTCTTGCTGCAATATTAAAATGTGTCAGTTCATGGACGTTAGGAGAAGAGATGTCTCCAAATGTCTCGACACTCAGGTCCAAGTTTTGAAAATGGTGTCAAGAAGTTAAAATATTGTCCACTATTGACACAGTACAGGGTTTAGACAGTATTTTAACTGGAGTTGAAATGATCAGAGCCTGTTCCTTTGTTGTGTCTAATGCTCCTTTTTTCATCAGACAACTTTTACTTAAATGTGTTTACTGATGTTAAAATGACACATTGGTTTTACTTTGTGTTAAATAAAAACTTTCAAAGGTAAAATCATTCCTCTTTCTTATTTTGCTTAATGACATAACTCTGCATGTCATCCCTAAAATTCTGCTACACAGAATCACAAGTCCAAGTGTGAACTGTGTCACAGAGTAAACACAATAAAAACATGTATTATCTGCAGCATTGATCATTAAAATGGAACAACACTATTAATGTATTACAGAAAATATACATACGGTAGATACACGTAATATTGTAGACCATTGCGTTAGGTAATACATTCAGTAAGTACTTTTACTTTAATACTTTAAATATTTTTAAAAGCAAGTACTTATTTACTTTTACTTAAGTAAAAATGTTAATGTGATACTTCTACTTTTACTAGAGTACATTTTTGTCTGTTTATTTGTACTTTTACTTAAGTACAGTGTTTCAGTACTTTCTCCACCACTGCGTATTTGTAATTCATTACTTCCACCCCTGTAAAGTACCCACCACGGACGAGCGAATACATCAAGGTAAGGAAGCAGACAGGATCGAACCTAAAATGCTTCCGTTTCATCAACAACCCCCAATTTTGGCAAAGTTTGAGACGTTGTGTAAAACCATGTGCAAAGCTCATAAACCCACATTTAGTTCAAAATTGAACTTTTTAAACATGTTAAAAAAGAAAAAACAAATATTAAGCAGTTTTGAATTTTATGGCAGCGACACATCTCCATAAAGTTGGGACAGGGTCATGATCTCTGGGAAACATCCTGTTATTTTAGCAGCCGTCTGAGTGATCTGGACTGCAGGCAGACCAGTTCAGCACCAGGACTCTTCCACAATGACACAGTGCAGTTTTAACAGATGTGGTTCAGCAGTGTCTTGCTGAAATCTGCAAGGTCTTCCCTGAAAAAGACATTGTCAGAATAGCAGCATTGACGATGCCTCTCCACGTGTAAGCTGCCCATTTCAATAGGCGTTAATGCACCCATATACCATCAGAGAGGCAGGTTTTTACCTGGTCGTCGACCTGTTGTCATTGAACCTAAATTGTTCCAAAATGTCCTAGAACCACTTAATTTTACAGCTTTTTATTGCAACTGTCTCCACATTTTTGATGTATTGCAACTGTATTCAAAATTATCTTATTTAACAAAAGAATGTTGCAATCTTCGTTTGAACATTTGATACATTTACGCCACTGTGAATAAAGTGTGGGTTTATGAAAATATTTTAATTTGCATTTTACATAACGTCCCAACGTTTTTGGAATTGGGGTTGTACATGTAATGTGAAAAAAAAACTACTTTAAATCAATTAAAATTTCATCAATAGGTCGAACATTGAATAAAAATCAAATATTTTCCCCTAAACATGCTAAAAATAAAATGTATTGATGCATGTTTATTTAGTAATAGTCTTCTCAGTTCCAGCACAAGTTGTACATTTTATTTGTAAATCAACAATAAAAGACAAAAATACAAAGCATCACATACACTTTGTATAGGCAGGAAAAAAAATACAAGGTTTAGATTTATACAAGAAATCTAAAAAAAAAAAAAAAAAATCGGAGTAGGGGAGCATAAATCACAGCTAATGGTTTAAAGGATGAACAATATAAACAAGGAGAAACAAACATAAGCACTATAAGTTGCAGAAGAGTGTATAAAAACAATCAATGTACTTTTGAAATCTCCTCTACTGGGTAGTTACATTAACCGTGCAGTTGAAGATCCTAACAGAATCAGAACTGCTGCGTTCAAGGACACTAGAAGCTCTAAACAGAGCCGGCTTGTTTCAGACTGGTAGATGCTACGGGTCCTGAAACAATTCCACACTTAAGTTTGAGACTTTATAATAATCAAACTTTTTGTAATCACTGGTAATATGACACTATTCTGATGTTTACTCTCGAGTCCCTATAATGTCACAGACTGGCCTCAACATCAAGAGCCAAGTTCACGTAAATAAACACATTCAACATGTTCATGCTCACCCACTGAGCCTTTGTCTAGTGTTACAGAACCAGGAAGCAGATCCACTTCCACCTGAGTGGGTGGTTCAAAGGAAATGGGACCAACGCTATGACTGTGCTCTTCTGTTTTTCCCAGCTTTTAGCTTTGACCAGCATCAAGTCCATGTTTGTGTTCTTCCGCTTCCAAACCCATCCATGATGAAACACGTGTACTATATGTACATAGACCTGGAAATAAAACTAACTGATTCTAAGAACTAGTTTTTTTACACGCCTATAATTATCTACACTATTCCCTTTGAGAAGAGCTGTGCTTTGAATAAAACCTGCCTCTCAGCTCAGACCTGCCAGCAGTGCTTTTACTTGACTCATACACAACTTGCAACAAGCTATCTCTAATGCAATGGTTCCCAACCCTGGTACTTGAGGAACACCATCCTGCATGGTTTAGTTGCTTCTCCGCTCCAACACCTGATTTGAATGAACGGGTGATTAAACAGGCTTCTGCAGAACTTGAAGTAATTAAACCACTGAATCAGGTGTGTTGGAGCAGAGAAATAACAACTAAAACATGCAGGACGGTGTTCCTCAGGGACCAGGGTTGGGAACCACTGCAATGTTTACCTATCTTTTCTTTAAATTCTTTATATTCCATGTGTTTTCCCCCTACAGATCTGTGTGAGGAGTCAATGTGGCTAAAATTAAGACCAAACTGCAGGAAGAGAACGGTAACAAAGCAGGACACTCGTCGTGTTCCAACACTTCAAAACGTTCTGCAGAACGTCGATATCACAGATATTCACACAAGTTTGTCATTTTTCAAAGTCTGAAGAGCACTAAAGAAATGAAGCTGCTTTCAAGTCCTGTTTGAATGCATTTACTACACAAAATGCTTCTAAAGTATTCTGTATTTGTAGCACAGCTTCCTGAAATGAATGCACAATGTTGATTTTACTCGACCCTCTGAAAAGCATGTGAGAACAGCAGACTGATGTGCTTTGTCTACATCACTATACCAACTCTAAATAAAGAGTCCATCGTCTTTGTGGTGACATTTATTGACTTTCATTGTCGTTAAGTACTCTTGTCAAATTTTAAACACATAGCTTCTGTGCTCTTGCCTTGGACATTTAAAAACTGAGCTCAATTCTCAGTTTTCATACTGTTTTGACTAAAAAATGATGCTAAATGTAATGTTTGCCTCATCTAAGTAACGCATGCTGACTATAATATGAGTGACCCTCCTCTCTGAGGCCTATATATTCAGAGGTTATTTGTATTTTTCACAATGCATTACTATTTTCATTATATAAATTACTGTCAGTCCACCTCACTGTTGTACATTTGTACAAATCTTCATATTTCATCAAACGCACAAATATGGAAACAAATTAAATGTGTTTCTTTCCTAAATCTCACATGCTTTTCAGATTTAGGATTGTCATTTTTTTTTAATTCATGGTTCAATTTATAATGTGGACAAAAAAATTCTGAACAAGAAATTTAAATGAAAGTGAGACAATCTTGACTAGAAAGATCCCATGTGGATATTCTGTCTGGTCTTTTATTGGCAAACATAAAACCCAGCATGAAAAAGAAACGTAGTAATAAGTACTAAGAACCTACTAACATGGTACAACACTAATGCACTTGTCCCCTTTTGCCACAAACAAAATGTGTATAAAAAGTGCTCCTGACAGCAGGTGGGTGAGGGACAAAGAGTAGCTGAATCAAAGGATGGGGGAGCCTTTGTGTCTCGTTGTTCCCATCTCTGTCTTCAGTCTCTGATCAAGAGACGAGGTGCGCGGGGAATGAGAGGACGAAGCGTCTCTAAGAGACACTGGAGCATCGAATGCTCGGGGAGCCCATCTGAGTGAGCACCTTGTCGAGCCACTGCAGCGGGCCGTTCAGGTGCAGCTCGATCCAGCAGGGGGTGCTGGTCACTGTCTGTCGCCTGTGAAACCCACAAGGAACAAAAACAGATGTTTAAAATAAAAATTCAGCTATTTGGAGTGTGACAGACATAAAAGGCAGGGTTTAGAAACACTGCTGTTATAGTGATGTTAGTGACACGGGTGCTTTGGAGCCCATGGCTTATACACAGGAGCAACTAATTTATGTACCTTCAAAAAATAATTTATTTTATTTTGACAAGACACCAATCTTGCTGCAGCTGAATAACATTTTCCTTGACACACCTGGGTGCCCAACACCCACCTCTCTTGGGGGTGGGCTTTTGTTGCAGACAGAGTGAATGTCACAGGTACTCATGACAGATCCCTCTCGCTCATGGTTCCAATTGTGCTACTAAATACTCAAAATCCCACTCTGTGGCCATGCAACCAGAAGTAACCCTATTGACCAATGAGGTAGTGTACTGTCACTGAGTCATGAGAACACACCCCCAAGATAAATGTGCATTGACCAGATTTCCTGTTTCAAAATCTGCTGTCTCCTTAAGCCTCCAGTATACTCGGGTGTACGTCAGTCCGTGTGTACCGGATTGGACTGGAAGCGGACGCCCACTGGGCATGTCCGTGCAAAGTTCAATTTTTATGACTGCGTACTCGTACTCGGTGTCGCACAATAAACTGCCCGGCGACAGACGGTTTTGTATGTGACACCAATGTATTAAATTCCTCTTCTTCATCCCTGATCTGGTTTAATGGCCTTTTCTTTTGTTTGTTTTTTTCCCAAGAGGCAAGCGATTTCTTCCTTCTCCGTTGATGCCATGACTGAAATGGTGAGAAATGAAGGAATTTGTCACAAGCAAATTAAAATCATGTCCAGCGTGGCTGTGGGAGGGTCTGGAGATTTTCTGGTGGGCTGATCTGATGTGTGGGCTGCAGGGCCAGCGCTCCCTGTTTTTTGTTTAGAATTTTTTATTAACAACATATAAACACAGAACACTGCTGCGGCTGGGGCTGCCAGCTTTCTTTTTTGTGTGTGTGTGCGACCTGTCAATCAATCCAGTAGGTGTGTCAGCAAATGACCAAATGGCAACCTCAATTTGTCCCGAAGGTAAACGCCCCTTGCCTGCGGAGCTGACTGCAGCTGCTCAGGGTGGACGCTTGAATATGAAGTCTCAACCGTTTGCAGAAAGTGTGCATCAAGTCCGCGCGGAAAAAAGGTCCGCGTGAGTTTACTGGAGCCTTTAAATAAATGTTAACTGACTTTTTATGTATGTGAATGTTTTCTATGCTGTGCCCTGAGACGACTTCTGTTGTGACTTTGTGGTATATAAATAAACTCAACTGAAATAAAATAATAAATAAATAAAAAACAATCTGTGAGGGGAGGAGACCTGTGCAGCAGTGGGGGTTTTCTACCATGCATTCTGACTGAAAGCTGGCCAAAAAAATGGTCAAAATATTAAAAATTGCCATGGAAACAAAGTCCGTCCTTTCATTGTTCTTTAAACCGGCAAGTACTGCATTTGCTTTCCACTGCAGATACAGCCACCGCAATGGGGTCAGCTGGTTGTCATATGGATTCGTCTTGGATCTGTAATCTGTACATAAAGATGCTACTGCTTTGCACCAAGAAAATGCCGTTAACCAAAAAGTTAAATGATAAATGTTCATCCTCTTTTCTGATGAGCAACAACACATAAAGTTCTAATTTAATGATCTGCTCATGACGAGCCTTAAATATCGACTAAAATATAAGAATTTAAAGGCTCCAAAGTGTACTCAAAACAAAAACCATTCATCTGAAATGTAAAAAAACCAAAACCATGCTGGTCTTAATTTACGCATAAGTAAAGAATTTTAGCAGGAAAAACTTAACTTTTTGAGATCTAAATGGTATTTTCTAGTTGTTTTGTTTTTGCCCACTTCAATGTTTTGCTTGTGTCTGTGTGTGCGTTCACTGGTACTGTTAGGAAAATATCTAATTGGAGTACATTTTTAACAGTTTCAAGTAATATACAAAAAAATGAAAAGAGAAAATGTTTGGCAGCCCTCATTAGGTTTTAGGAGCTAGAAGAAACAAATATCAGCAATGTTATTGTGCACTGAAGGACTATACAGTGTGTTGTAAAAAGATGGGTCAGGTTTCTACAAGGATTCAGATTTCGTTATCTGACAAGCGCCAAAGCTGCCTCTGCGCTCGCCCACCTGCTGCTTTGTTGCCGTTTAGTTTCATTAAATGATTTGCCTTGCGAGAGTTGATCCATCTGCTGAAACTTGCATCACCATTTCCTTTTCCTGTCACTTTGGTTTCACTCAGCTCTACTAGAGCTTCAAGCTCCAGGCTCATGTTGGTCTTTTTTCCTGCTGCTATGTTTCTTTCTTTTAGCGAGGGTGCCCTTTCTTTTGTTTCGACATTTCCATTTTTTGTTGTGATGTTTGTTTTATGTGAATTAAAAGAACTTACAAAAGGAACAAATGAGAAAAACAGACGAGTGGAAATGAGAATAAGGTGGAGGTGGCAGGAAGGAAAGAGGCCTGCCTGATCACGAAATCCGACTCCTGTCTTTAAGTGTCTCCACATGTCAGCGTTTGGGTTGACATGTGGTCTTTCCCTTTGGAAACCTCATGTGTCAGACCAACATTAAGCCCCCCCCCCCCCCCCTTCTACTATCAGTGAGTCAAACTGTGTGGAAAGCTCTGAGGAGTAAAAGAGGGAAAGTCTGACATTGCTTTTTGACACGGCACATGTGTGTTTGTTTAAAAATAGTCCGGTGTGCCTGCTGGGGCCTGTTTCTATTGATGAGCGCTGCATGACGTCATACTCTGGATTCACCAGAGCGTGAGCAGATGTCTGTTGGATGGTGAGTTGTGATTCACCGCTTGGTTCTATTGTCTGCGTTTACATTCACAGTTGCTCTGTGGGGGAGGCCATCTTTGCTCGTACGGCTTTAAATCACTGAAAAAGCTAATAAAGTGCGTAATTATTATTTATTTGAACCTTGTCTGTGACGTCAGAGACGACATCCTAACCAATCGTTTGAGGGACAAAAAGTTTGTGTGGGTCAGTTCACCAAAGCTAAAGGTGGTCTAAAATGTCCAATTTAAACAAACTCATTAGACCATAAATGTAAGAGCCTTTAACTTTTTTAATAATCTCATAAATATAGTTCTGTTAAAGACAAGTTCTTGTACTCACTCTAGCAGCCTGAATCAAGTTTAGGTTTGATTTTTGTAACAAAGTGCAATGCTTCCTCCCCCTCCCGCCCCCTGAGTGCTCCTTCTTTATCCGGCAATTTAAACAAGATTGCACCAGATGCTGTCGTAATTTTCATTTTTATTCGATTCCAAATGATTTTCTACTAAAATTATATATATATTTTTTTTAAATCTGGGTGAACAACAAAATTTGCTCGGGGGCCAGAATCTTTCTTAGAAGACTCCACCAGCCTTTAATTTGATATGTCAATAAATAGATGCTTCTATAACAGGATGTTTTGTACTTTATTCAGTTACGGGACATAAACCAAACCTTTAAAAAGGTCAGTTTTGTTGTGTTGTATTAAAAAACACAGCCCTACAAAACACAAGCTATCAATTTGAATTAGTGGAATAAGGAACAAATGCTTAATGTCCTGTGCAGTTCTGCACAAAGTGGGACACCTGATCACCTGGGCTGTAAGAGCGGGTTACCTGTATTCAGCTCCCCAGCCCTTGACGAAGCTCATGCGGATGGTGCACATTCTGGTAAGTTGATAGACGGCCTCAAAGCCCTGGTTGACTGACTGCGCCAGCAGGGCAGCAAACTCCTGGTTGTTAAAGATCTTCAGGTTGCATCCTGAAAGGAAAAACACAGACAGTTACACCGGAGAACCAAGAGAACCAAAAAAAAGTAACTCGCAGCTGGTTCCCATCTACACAAAAGCTGGGACAAAAATGACCATTAATTTAAAGGTTTGTTTGACATCCATCCATCCATTTTCTTTACCCGCTTATTCCATTTTGGGTCACGGGGGTCGCTGGTGCCCATGTCCAGCAATCACTGTGCGAGGGGCGGGGTACACCCTGGACGGGTCACAAGTCCATCACAGGGACACATAGAGACAAATGAGACAAACAACCATTCACTCTCTCACTCACACCTAGGGACAATTTAGAGTTACCAATCAGCCTAACATGCATGTTTTTGATCTGTGGGAGGAAACCGGAGCACCCGGAGAAAACCCACGCATGCACGGAGAGAACATGCAAACTCCACCCAGAAAGGCCCCTGGACCAGGGTTTGAACCAAGGACCTGCTCGCTGAGAGGCAGCAGCTCTACCAGTTGTGCCACCGTGCTGCCTGTTTGTTTGACATGTCAAAGTATAAATTAGCAGTAAATGTTTCTCACTTGTGACATATTTTTTTAATTTCAAGGTACACCAAGAATACTTTAAGTCTGACATAATAAAATAATTCCAGTAAATTCTGAGTTTGGACCATTGTCCAAAAGACGACCATTGACACCTTGCACATGGAGGGCAAGGCACAAAAGTAAGACGCTGGCTGTTCACAGAGTTCTGTGTCCAAGCACATTAATAAAGAGGCGAAGGGAAGGAAAAGATATGGTAGAAAAAAAGTGTACAAGCAATAGGGATAACTGCACCCTGGAGAGGATGGTGAAACAAAACCCATTTCAAAATGTGGTGGAGATTCACAAAGAGTGGACTGCAGCTGGAGTCAGTGCTTCAAGAACCACCACGTACAGACGTATGCAAGACATGGGTTTCAGTTGTCGCATTCCTTGTGTCAAGCAACTCTTGAACAAGAGAGCGTCAGAAGCGTCTCGCCTGGGCTAAAGATAAAATGGACTGGACTGCTGCTGAGTGGTCCAAAGTTATGTTCTCTGATGAAAGTAAATTTTGCATTTTCTTTGGAAATCAAGGTCCCAGAGTCTGGAGGAAGAGAGGAGAGGCACAGAATCCATGTTGCTTGAGGTCCAGTGTAAAGTTTTCACAGTCAGTAATGGTTTGGGGTGCCATGCCATCTGCTGGTGTTGGTCCACTGAGTTTTCTGAGGTCCAAAGTCAACACAACCGTCTACCAGGAAGTTTTAGAGCACTTCATGCTTCCTGCTGCTGACCAACTGTATGGAGATGCAGATTTCATTTTCCAATAGGACTTGGCACCTGCACACAGTGTCAAAGCTACCAGTACCTGGTTTAAGGACCATGGTATCCCTGTTCTTAATCGGCCAGCAAACTCACTTAACCCCATAGAAAACCTATGGAGTATTGTGAAGAGGAAGATGTGATACGCCAGACCCAACAATTCAGAAGAGCTGAAGGCCACTATCAGAGCAACCTGGGCTCTCATAACACCTGAGCAGTGCCAGAAGATATGTAGACTTAAGATGGGCCATTACATTTTTGCTTAAAGAGACTATGGGCTCAGACAACAAACGGCATCAGTATGAGTTTTAGTAAAGGTCTATCTTGATTTAAACAACAAATAGATGAGAAAATGTATTGAGGAAACTGCATGGAAAGAAAACAGTGCATGTTGGACAGGGAAGACATCCTTCGATTGATGGTGATGAGGTTTTCTCTATTTCATGGTCATGATGGTACATTTAGAGCACATCTGCTCTGAATCATTCAGTTCAAACATATAAACATGATTATTATACATTTGGCTAACAAGGCACTCCAGTATTAACTTCACTGTAATACTGAGAGTGCTTTCACTGAACCTTTACTGAAAGTTGACCTCTGCTTTTTTTTAATTATAATGCTTTCATACATTTCAATTTACAAAACAAATCACACACACAGAGACATTTAGACTTAAAAACAAGAGCTGCGCCACCTCGACAAATGAGTGACGAATAGTTTCCATGTACTCCTGTCTATGTTTGTCCGAATTCATCACACTTAATGTTTTTCTTCTGACTATCTGTTGGACACACACCTGGAGGGATCTTGCAGACAGTGGCAGGGTGCCAACCATAACGCTGATTACAGTTGGGGCTCTGGACAAAGATAGCACTGTCACTGAGACACTCTGCAAACACCTCTCCGCCGATGTAATACAGCCGCACACCACGTCCTTAGAGATATAAAAGACAGAACAATAGATGTCGTTAAGAGTAGCTGTGATTACTCGTTGTATTTGACTGACACTGGATCTGAGTGGAGTACTGAGCCCCACCGATGTGTCTGCGTGTTAACTCCACAGCTGCGTTTCGGTTGACGTTTGACAACAATCCAAGGCAGAAACGCTCAGAGTTGGAGGGGTCTGTGAAGCCATCCACTGTCAGCGAGGGCTGCGAGGCGTGGAAGGTCTCTCCTACTCGCTGGTTCAGCTCGTAGTATGAAATAGAGCACCAGAAGGCCGGCTCACAGTATGTTACTGGCTGGAGGTCTGAGGCAGAAAAAAAACACAGTTGGTGTGGTGAAAACTGAGGGAGAGACCAGGAGTTCAATTCTGTATTGTGTACTTTGTCTGTGAGTAGGCTGAATTGTGCAGATCTGTCTGACTTTGTGAGAGAGAGAAAAAAGAAGCCAGACACTGCAGTCGGTGCTGTAGGAATATTAAGTGAATGCAAATGGAGCTAAAGAAAAGTCAAGCAGACAACAAAACAAATGAGAGAAAACAGAAATGAGGGGGAATGATAATCAAAAGGAGACAAAATGAATGAAATGTGGAGAGAAATGGTGAAAAAATTGTGATAGCTTAGGTTCGGAAAACATCAGACCCTGTTTCCCCATAGAAAATATGAAAATTTATTTCCACTGATGATTCCTCCTCAACACCAAAAATTCTCTGAGAACTTCATCGTTTAGTCTTTAAAGTTCAGACAAGAACAGACCTCGCTGCCAAGTAAAACTGGTGTCATTTTCTTATTTAAACCAGCAGCATTCCAGCTAAAGTCTCCCTGGGGGGTTTCTTATCCTGTGAGAACAAACGTAGGATATTTTTATTGATGTTAGTGTGAACCGAGCAGTGCCTTGGCCTGTCTAATGGCTCACACTGAGGGTGTGAAGGACAAAAGCTTCTTTCATCCCCTCGTTTCCTCTTGAAGAACGCAGTTAAACCAAACACAGAATTCCACTGGGAACAAACAGCGGTGAAACATTTTGTCTGCAAGTGAAGAAGACCGAAAAGAAAATCCACACAGACAAGTAGTTAGTTACCTAAGTTACTGTGTGTGGGCGAAACGGGGTTCGGTGACAGGTTTGGCGAGCTCGTGTCCATACTGTGGGTCATCTGGTGATCATTAGTCTCTCCATCCTCACTGAGGTATCCAGGTGGTGGCGTTTCTGAGAAACATGAAAACACATGAGACCAAGACACACAAAAACTACTTATCGAGACACAGGTGGCTGACAGAATCTCAGGTTTGTACAGATAACACTTGGCTGAAGGGAACACAGCTGTGGTCACCTATTTACAGTTTCCTTACTTACCCATGCTTGTAGATTTCAGGCATCAAACCAAGGCCAAACCAAAAGGTACATGCAGTGTTTCACTGGGCTTTCAGTTATTTACAGTCTCATTGAATTCTGAGTAGGGATGCACGATATTGGATTTGGTCGATAAATGATACCGATATTTTATATATGTTCCTTTGTCAGAACATAGCCCTCTTATTTAGGCTTATTTGCTACAAAAAATGTGTAACAGCTGTAAGAGCTAGTGACATATATTCAGTAACAGCCATATGATATGCAGAGCACTTTAACTTATATTAAATGAAAAGTGTTAAATGTTATTTATTAGCATTAGTCACCTGCGATGCTGTCTCACTTGTGGAGGCTTGTTCCAGGTTCCTAGCTGCAGTGTGGGATCCTCTGCACTCTTGTGCATGAAGGACAGACTTTTTAAGTTCAATGTTTTTGTCTATCCGTTGTGCCATAAGACTAATCATGCTACGATGTCCAAATGTCTGTGGTAAAACTCACCCAAGTGCTATCAGCTATTAGCTTCTCAATGACGTCAGAAATTAAGGTACGTTGGAAAAATATTTCAGAATGGGGAGGATGTAGCGAGGCTCAACATAGTCCATAAATCTTTGGAATCAGACATCCTCATCAACCAAAAAAAAACTTCCACACAGCCGACATTTTGAATTTTCCTCTCCTCCATGAGACCAGGTAGGCACATGTGACGTCATCATGTTGTGCTGCCGCTGCAGGCATCCTTGTCACTGGGTTGTCATACAAAAACAGCGTCTTTTATATCGGTGAGTTATTTTGATGGAATGACCGATATCCGATATTGAACTTTAATGCTAATATCGGCCGATACGATACCATGTCGATAATATCGTGCAGCCCTAATTCTGAGTACTTGCGACCAGCAAACCATGCTGTGTTTTTGAAACATATTTTTGAAAATCACTGCCTAATTTTGTGTGCTCAGCAAAAACTTTCCTGGAGACAGCTCACATTATTTCCTGCCCCTCTCCATCTTGGCCCACTTTGTACCCACTTTGATGTTTCTGGTTTAATTTACTGAAGGATAATTTTTAAACGAAGATAGGCAGATTTTGATCAGGCAGTTTTTTAAATAATTATTGATTATGATGGGTGTGGTTTTTAGACCTGAACATTTAAGACTGTAGTCTTGGACATTTTCTGCCATAAGGAGAGGGTGGAGGTGTCAAAACTGAGCTCTAGGGTTCTAAAATTACAGAAACTAAAATGAGAAGCGATCAAATCAGCTTTAAGATGTCCACAACAACTCTAAGATTATACTGAGTGAAAATTTGTCATGTAAATTTTTTGAAGGCGTTTTAAAATTCAAGCAAAAAACTATCTGCAAATCTCACAAAAAATCCCCATGAACATTTTCTCGAGACATTTTGGAGGCTCCCTCTTGAATGCCATTTGCCAACTACTCTCCAACAGTTGCAGCCCAGTGAGACACTGGCTGAAGGACTAGAGCAGGATTCACCCAAATAAATAGTTAAAGTTTTACAAACAATCAGCATCAAATTTATAAAATAAAAATAAAAAAAACTGTCATTTCAATAAAGAAAGACATCTTCTGAAAATAACAGAAATCTCATTCAACTGTTTGTCCACAAAATTCAATTGTCACCTTCTTCCAGAGAAGTCCTGTTCAAAATTGTATGGTTTTCTTTTCTTAATGTGTTACACCTTAATTTTTTGTAGCTATTATATACTATATAATTATATTATATTAAATGGAGTATGTTATATTCTACCATATTGTTTATTATATTTCTTTTGGACCTTTATAATATTATACTTATATTTCTTTTTCACTTTTGGTACTTTATTTTGTATGTTTATTGCATGCTTTAGTATTTCTTGTTGTTTATTTTTAGCGAGTCGAAACACTTCTTCTCATCCTGAACATTTCATTTCATTGTTGACCTTGTGCTAACCTGCATATGACAAATAACAATAACCATATCTGAAAATGTTTACTTATTCACTTAAAGATTAAGATTAGGAAGATTAAAAAGATTAAGAAGAAACAAACTTCTCAGCATGCCCTTTTGGCTCAGGTGTAAAATTTCTAACAGCCTTTATGATACATCAAACCATAAACTGACCCTTACTGTGAGTCAGCTTTTGAGGAGTACTGGTACCTGGTATGTAGTTGCTCTGAGGCTCAATACCAGCAGGGAAATTGGTGTTTTCAGGGATTGAATGGCTGTAGTCGTCCAGGGGTGGGAACTCGCTGGGGATTTCTGTGTGTCTGGGCACCAGCACCGGTGGGAGGACTGAGACACAAACATAAAGTCAGAAACACACAGCCAGCATGCAGTTTCTTACAATATTTCAACAGTGACTGGTTTATCTTAACTTTCAAAACCAAAACAAATCAGTGTGAAGAGGATTATAAATAGGGAAACACTTTAGATTATTTTCAACAAGTCAAAATATAATTAATTTCAAAATCTACCAACATCCTCCCTTAAATTCCGGGATCTTTGCTGAAACTAACAACGTCAGAAGGATTGATTGACCGTCCAAGCTGCCGTACCTGGCGTCTCCACTCTCTGGTAGTGATAAGGGTTGACGCACACTTCATCCTTTTTTGTATGGAAGGCGTACTCGCACAGCTCCACTGCTCGCAGCTCGTGGTGAGACTGCAGGTCCGGCCAGCGCCACAGCCGGCAGTAGATAACATGAGGCAGACCTTTTCTATGAGACACCTGCAGGCGGCCATCCAAAGATCTGCCAAGAAGGAACGAAGACAAAGACGTCTGTCAATCATTTGCAGTCTTCAACCTGAGATCTTAATAGTAAGTTTTTCATGTTTAAGCAAGAAATCAGGTCTCTCTTGGAAATGAGTCCTCGAGGCTCAATGGGATTTACCTGTCTAAATAAAGGTTGATTGAAAGATGCTTTCTTGACATGTTTTTTTTCCCTTTTCAATAAATTTGTTTAATTTATAGTCTACACCTTTATATTTCTAATTTTCAATTTGGTCTATACATCCACATGTTATCTAATACTGCTTTTAGTGGGTTCCTAACAGTTGCTGGTTTAATCTAATTTATTTTTTGGAAAAATATGTCATTTAAAATAAAAAATCTAATTGTAATAGTGTTTGATGCAAAAAAGTTTATATAGGCAAATTAAGTTTTTAAGCAGGGTGGCACGGTGGTCCAGTTGGTCGAGCTGTTGCCTCTCAGCAAGAAGGTTGCCGGATTGAATCCCGGCCGGGGGGCCATTCTGGGTGGAGTTTGCATGTTCTCTCCATGCATGCATGGGTTTTCTCCGGGTACTCCAGTTTCCTCTTACAGACCAAAAACATGCATTTTAGACTGATTGGTAATTGTCTCTAGTTGTGAGTGAGAGAGTGAATGATTGTTTGTCTTGTTTGTCTCTATTTGTCCCTGTGATGGACTGGAGACCTGTCCAGGGTGTCCCCTGCCTCTCGCACAGTGACTGCTGGATATGGGCCTCACTGACCCCCGCGACCCAAAAAGGAAGAAGCGGGTAAAGATAACTGATGAATGAATGGATGAATAGTTTCTAAGCATTACAACTACCTTTATTTCCTAAGCCTAGTTAAGAACTAAAAGTGTCCTACAAATAACAAAAACAAACAAATAATTATTTCTGTCACTAGAATTCCCCAGACAAACATTTATTCTCTAAAACTAACTCTGAAGTGTTTACCACTGCAGGACTCTAAAATGACCTCCTGTTGATGAGAGTGCCAGCTTTGAGCACGCTTGTAATGATGCGATATCTATTAATAAACAACTGGAAATGAGATTAACGTATGTGCAACAGGAATTTCATTGTCTACTGTAACATCTGCACTCATCTGGGATACAATGCCCTGACAGGAGGATTAGGTTTGGTCGTTGTTTGACATTGCACAACGACATATTGGGGGTGTAGCTGCTTATTTCATAGCACAATGACCCATGGCAGAAAAACAAAACCATGTTAAGCTCATCATGTTATACAAGAGTCAACAACCACATATGCCCCCGTGTGTCTGTCTCAACTGGCCAGAGTCGCATATAAACACAGAATAAGGGCCAAAGGATTAAGATGAAGTTTTTAGAAGGACAAACGTAACGTCCGAATAAAACCAAAAACATATATCATCTAACTACTGAGAACTCAACTGAACCACATCTGGGCCGTCTATGGTAAATGTTCTGTTTGATTTTGTTGTTAAAAGCTTTAAATCACAGGCTTTATGCTTTCAAAAAGTGACTCCAGCATCCTAACAGGTGGTGGGGGTGTTAAATTCTGCAAATGGAGTATGTGTATTTTATAAACATGTATCATTATAAAACCATAAAAGCAGATAATAAAAATACTCAGATTCAGATAAGCCTGCATCAAAGAATCAACACTGAATTCCTCTTGCTACAAATAAAACTAGGGGAATCAAATCTTGCAGAATCATGTTAAAGTAATCCAGAGCTTTAATCACCCATTAAATATCAAAACATGAAAGCCAGGCAGCACAGTGTGAAGTATAAAGTAAAGTATTAAGTCCCTACATGAGAATCTCAGACCCAAGCTTTGTTTTATATTGTTAGTAAACAATTTGTTCATTACATTCAAGTAATTTAGCATTTACCATAAAAATAAAAACTGAAGCCTTTTTGACAGCCATGATTGTTACTTTGATGACAGACAGACAGACAGGACAGACAGAGACAGACAGACAGACAGAGACAGACAGAGACAGACAGACAGACAGACAGACAGACAGACAGGACAGACAGAGACAGACAGACAGACAGACAGGACAGACAGAGACAGAGACAGACAGACAGACAGACAAGACAGACAGGACAGACAGAGACAGACAGAGACAGACAGGACAGACAGAGACAGACAGAGACAGACAGACAGACAG